CATCATGTGAGATCTGTGTGTTTATTTTACCGTACTATTAAATTGGTTTAGGAACAGAATCCACAATTGCTTTTTTTTTTTTTTAACATTTAGTTTTGAGTTCGGTTTCGAATCGTTACTCTTGAAGAAAAGAAACGAAACTTACAAGAGTTGTTAAAATCACTTAACCTAGGGTCAAGTTCCCACAATTGCTCTTTTTGACATACATTATTTAATAAGAAATTATTAGATGAAACGATCTGATTAATGCAGCTAAACGGTATAAATTTATATAAAAATCATTTCTCAAATCAATAATACCTCTCTTGTCCTCATGTGAATGCGTGGCAACAAAATAACGTGAGGCTCTTTCTCAACCAAAATAATATTTATGTGCAGTCTCATTTGCCCTTTCTTTTCTTTTTTTTTTTTATTTTCCACTGGTATCCGGGCTTCGTCCCGATTAATTCGGACTCAACTCGGGTCTCGCGTACCTAAAAATAATGGATGAGTCTCCCAACGGAGACTACTGCATACAAAGTCTCAAACTTAAAACCTTATTTAAATTGGAACAAGTCGTTTACCATTTGATTCAACCCCTTTGGTGTCATTTGCCCTTTCGATACCCTCAAAAAGCCACACCGCCGTTCTCCATTCACGTCGCCAGCCGTCTTCTTCCCGATTCCCACTATGATCCCTATCTCAGATTTCTCCCGCCTGTTTTTCACTTGTGCTGGTATCTTTGCAATTGTTTGGTATACATGGACATACTTCAAATCCAGAAAGGGGATTTCAAAGTTGCCACCTGGACCCCCTGGCCTCCCTCTCGTCGGCAACCTTCCCTTCCTTGACCCTGAGCTTCACACCTATTTCACTGCCGTGGCTCGGAAATATGGACCAGTTGTCAAGCTTCAACTAGGAACCAGGATTGGTATACTGATCACCTCCCCTACCCTGGCCCGTGAAGTCCTCAAAGACCATGACATCACATTTGCTAACCGCGACATGCCCGCCGTCGGGGGACCAGCAACGTACGGTGGCTCTGACATCGTGTGGAACCCTTACGGACCTGAGTGGCGGATGTTGAGGAAAGTCTGTGTGGTCAAGATGCTAAGCAACACGACTCTGGACTCTGTTTATGCGCTCCGGCGAAGGGAGATCCGGGGAACTATGGCTTATATCAACAGTCGGGTGGGGTCCCCAGTGAATGTTGGGGAGCAAGTGTTTCTAACCATATTGAATGTGATTACGAGCATGTTGTGGGGTGGGACAATGCAGGGCGACGAGAGGGCTGCCCTTGGGGCAGAATTCCGGAAGGTGATCTCCGACATCTCCGACCTTTTCGGTTTACCCAACGTTTCAGATTTTTTCCCGGCTCTGTCCCGGTTTGATTTGCAGGGCTTGGTGAAACGGATGGGGACGCTGGCGAGTAAGCTGGATACAATCTTCGATAGGATAATTGAGCAGCGGCTGAAGAACGAAGAAGGAGAAGAAAGCAAGGATTTCTTGCAGTTTCTATTGAAGTTGAAGGATGAAGGCGATCCTAAGACCCCTTTCACCATGACTCACCTCAGAGCCTTGCTCATGGTAAGTTTCTAATTTTTTCCATAGTAAGTCAGATCTCTCTGCCTCTTTCAACACACTAACTAAGGTTGGAATTGGACAGGATATGGTGGTAGGCGGATCTGACACATCCTCCAACTCAATAGAGTTCACCATGGCTGAAATCTTGAACCACCCAGAGGT